CTAATAAGATAAACCCCTACCCCCCCCACCACCATCACCCCATTAGTAAGCGTGCTCGTTAGAAAACCTACACAGCAACATGTTCAGTTGTGGTTTGATGGTAGCATCTGCCGTTCTGTGCGTACTATGCATGGCTGTCTTTCCGTACATTATCTCGTACCGCTGCCACACGCTTTATAAGATGAGTTGTAAAATCGTCATTGAGACGGCTTTCGATGTCGAAGTGAATTACTTGAATGGAGATCGGAATCATAATACGCTATACTACATATATAATCATACGGATATCGGTCTGCATGCGCCTATGCGTATCCCTTATCAGATCGTGATCACGCAAGCGCCTACTCTCTCTCATTCCCTCGTACACACACACACACTCTCTCCCCCCTCGCTCTCACTCTCTCTCTCTCTCTCTCTCTCTCTTTCTCTTTCTCTTTCTATCTATCTATCTATTATCCTGTCTAGTCTACCATAATCTCTCTATCTAATCGCTCAGCTATCTATCACTCTCTCTCTCTCTCACCTCTCTCGTCTCTGTGACCCCTCCTCTCTCTCTCTCTCTCGTCGTCTCTCTCTCTATCTCTGCTCTCCTCTTTCTCGCGCATGCGTCAATCTCTCTCCTCTCTTCCTGGTTCTCTCTCTCTCTTTCTTCTCTCTATCTATCTATCTATTTATCTGTCTATCTCTCTTTCTCTCTCTCTCCGTCATGCAGATCATCGCGGAAAGTGAATCTCGGCCACGAGCGCCCTCTATGTAGACGCAGAGAAACCACACAAGGATGCCTGCGTGCTCAGAGCGAGGCACGTAGTGTTGTGTATTACCGCCTGTAGAATCGTATTACCGTCTGAAAGATGCCTCGCCAAATTGTTGATTCACATTTGCCTGTGGGCGCTTTCACTTAATTACGTCGCACGGTGTTTTACTTGACCCATTGACGTCAGTTATAACTGCGAGTAGCAGGACAAAGCACGTTGCAGAAACCAAGACAGTGCGATTGCTGGTCAGGCACTGTATGCTCAGTGGGAACCAAAAGGAAACCCCCTAAAATGGTCGCCGTTGAGCGTACGTGGGTCGGGGTCGCATGAGGGCTTGCTGCGGTGCTGGGGTCTGGTGGAGGCGGCGGAGAACTGGCTGTTGTCGTAAGAGCGCAGGACCGATTAATCAGGGAGAACGTTCGATAATGATGCGATATTTGTGTAGGCTGGTGGCGGTGTGCGTGTGCGTGTGCGTGTGGCGGCGTGTGTGTGTGTGTGCGGTGTGTGTGGTGTGTGTGTGTGTATGTAGTGTGTGCGTTGCGGTGTGCGTGTGTGTGTGTGTGTGTGTGTGTGTGTGTGTGTCGGTGGTGGTATGTGTGTGTGTGTGTGTGTGGTGTCGTGTGTGTGTAATTGTGTGTGATTGTGTGTGTGGTGTTGTGTGTGTGTGTGTGTGTGTGTGTGTGTGTGTGTGTGTGTGTGTGTGTGTGCGGGAGAGGAGGGGTTGCGGTGATTAATGTTTACGTTCGCATTAGCGACAAAGCCGCGCGTGAAGAGACCGTTACGTCGTGACTCCGTGACGCCGTGATGCCGTGAAGATGTAACTCCGTGACGCCGTGATGCCGTGAAGATGTAAGTCCGTGACGCCGTGATGCCGTGACGCCGTGATGCCGTGACGCCGTGATGCCGTAAAGATGTAACACCGTGACTTCGTGACGCCGTGACGCCGTGATGCCGTGAAGATGTAACTCCGTGACGCCGTGATGCCGTGAAGATGTAACTCCGTGACGCCGTGATGCCGTGAAGCACGAAACGTCCTGACGCCGTGGCGCTGTGATGCCGTGACGCCGTGACGTCGTATTGTACAGTAACACCGTGGCACCGTCAGGTGGTGACACTGTGACACTGTGATGCCGTGATGCCGTGACGTCGTGACACCGTGACGCCGTGTCACCGTGACGTCGTAATGCTGTGACGTTGTGATGCCGTAATGCCGTGATGCTGTGGCACTGTGACGACGTGACGCTGTAACACTGTGACGACGTGACGCAGCCAACGTCACGACGACGTCACGACGACGTAACCGACGCTATGCGTCTAAGCAGACACGCAACTGGAGCGGCGCTGCATATACGACGCATGCACGTATACTACATGCACGTCCCTTCACGTCACGTATATACATATATATATCAGAAGTAGATAATAGGACTCCCTAATAGGATTCCCTATTATCTACTTCTGATATATGAGTAATAATACTATATTATATATATATAATATATATATATAGTATTATTATATAATATATAATAATAAACACACGGACACCATGACAGAGTCAAGATTATTTCAAAACTAGAAATAGGTTCAAATTTTCCCTTTCGTGCGAGCTTCGAGAAACATATGTCTTTTTATCAGCGACAACAACACAGAATCGCGGTAATAAAAATGTTGACACCACTATTTTTCTATTTTAAAGGGCCGCGTCGTATCTTATCTGTATGACTATAATATATAATAAATATTTAATAGTCTATTCCGGTATAACATGTATCTATATATATATACTACTAGGTATATATAGTATCGCANAGTATGTATGTATATATATATATATATATATATATATATATCGCAACAGTTGACCGTGCCGTAATCACCCACGGTGGTGGCGGCTGTGGCCACCATGCACCATTAAAATCATTAGTCGCGCACGTGGCGCGAGTAAATGCGGGTTTTATTCCGTTCATCGAGTCATAACGAAGCGAGCGTGATTGTGCAGTGCACGCTCACGTCGCGCTTAATCCTAGTGCGTTAGAGACACACGTGTTAGAGCCCCTTGGGGGTGGGGGTGGAACAGCTGCCTATTGGATCGCCGAGCGAAAATAACACGAAAAGCCTAATAGATATAAATAGCCGTAAAAAGAATCTTATATAATAAGAGACGTCGATTATCTCTTCGGAGGCTAATCGTATCCCATAATGTTAATTACGCTAATTAGCCTACTGGGAAATTTGGAACCGATAAAAAACGCATTTCTTCGTTGTTATTTCTGATCGGTTTAGTCACGTTGTTTTTCTCTCCCGTCGAACTTTTCTCCTTATCTCGCTCTCTCTCTCTCTCNGTGAGCATGGGTGCGTGTATTCTCGTGCGTGTATGCGTGCGCGCGCGTGTGTAAGTGAGCATGGGTGCGTGTATTCTCGTGCGTGTATGCGTGCGCGCGCGTGTGTAAGTGAGCATGGGTGCGTGTATTCTCGTGCGTGTATGCGTGCGCGCGCGTGTGTAAGTGAGCATGGGTGCGTGTATTCTCGTGCGTGTATGCGTGCGCGCGCGTGTGTAAGTGAGCATGGGTGCGTGTATTCTCGTGCGTGTATGCGTGCTTGTGTGTGCGTGTATCTTACTGCGTGCGTGTGTGCGCATGTGTGCGTATATCTTTGTGCATGCGTGCTTGCGTGCTTGCGCGCGCGCGCGCATGTGTATGGAGGGGCTCTTCAAGGCTCCGATCGCTTTACGCGAACGCTTGCTGCGATCTTGTGAAGGCTTTTAAGTAAACCACTTCGTCCGATTTCTCCCGGCCAAACAAATACACGACGTACATACCCGCTCGGGAATATAAAAGCTGGTGCTTAGTGTGCGAAGCTCTATATAGCATGTGAACAGAAATTAAGACGCAAGTTTGTCTTTCTGAAATTCCTAGACGTTCTTACATAGCAGCGCACTGGTAAACCTATTAGTACAGAGATTACGGTTAGATTTGTACCGTCGCCATTTATGGAAATATTTATTTTTCGTGTTGACTCGCGCACTGCGAGAGATTCTATTGACAAAGCCAAAGAAAGCAGATAACCGAGGAAGGAATTTTTACCGAAACCCAGACTAGAATAAAATAGAAAGCTAGAAATTTAAATCGAAGGTATGTTGAATATTAGAAATGAAACTCAGAAGTATGCATTATTATATGCGTGTATGGTGAAGAGAGATGATTTATTTTTATTTTAATATATCTAACGAGTCCTAGATTTAAAGATTCACCATGAGAACAGTGGCAGCAACATCCTCCTCCATCACCTCCTTCCTTTCACCGATTCTCTTCCCCATTGCCCCTCTAAATATCTCTCCGCCTTCCGTTGCTTCTCTTTCGCTACTTCCATCCAATAGCTTTCAGTCGCACATAAGCTAATATCGTTCCATTACCCATACCCATTTTACAATATTTTTATGTGCCCTTAATTTTGTAAATGATAGAACTCGATTTGTACAGTATATTATTGAAACAGGAACCTGTTTAATGTTTTAATGTTTTCCGATGGCGGCTTCATAACTATACTGATGTGGGCACGTGCATCCTCGTCTTTGCATGCTTCTGTGTACCCACGAACATACAAACATAAACAAACAAACAAACAAACACACACACACACACACACACACACACACACACTATATACAATATATAAATATACAACTATATTGAGTTATATTCTGACACATAGCCGGACAGGAAATATCATGTTTGCTGATCAGACGGAGTGTGTGTTTTCTGCCATATATTGTATGTATACAAAGTTGATCAATTCGGATTGTTACATGTTTATAATGCGCTCTTAAATAGCGTTACAGAGTATTTAACTATAATCACGATAAGACTATTCGGCGGTGAGGTTTTTCTATGCGACACTTGTTGCGCGACCCCACGTGTGCGTCATGTGTACGTGATTTCGCGTGTGTATACGTATTACTCCAGTATTACATGTGACTCACGAAATGCTCTCAATCGTTGTCTTGAAGTCGGTGTATACAGGTGTATACATAATTTTCTGTTAATCGTCACGCGAGATCACGCGACAATATTATTGAGTGATCTGTGAATATCTATAACACACATGCACATATATACACACACCACTCCCACCCCCACCCCATCCACCCCACCGCACTCCACTCACACACCCGGTAACCCGCGCGCCACCGGCGGCGTCGCGATCGACCGATTAATTCTCAATCTCGCTTTCCTTTGTCCGCAGGTCGGCGACTCGACGCGATGCAGCCACATGCCCTGCCGGGCGAGAGAAAATTAGCTCATTACTCGACCTCTACAACCCATCCGCTGCGCGAAGCACTCCATCGACTGCGGCGACCGACCCACGTCGTCAATTAGCCCGTAACATCTCACGGGCGCATTCAGCCGACGACTCGTCATCATCATCATCATCATCATTATCATCATCGTCGTCGTCGTCGTCTTCGGGAGAGAAAGAGAGAGAGAGAGAGAGTTCTCCTCGCAGCAGCGACTCGGCGCGCCCTCTGGCGCGACCGTCCGTCATTAACGCACGTCCGGCGTTGTTCGTCTGCGCGCTGTGTCGTCACGTGACGTTCGTGAGCGCTCCACTGCTGCTGCTGCGGCGACCGACGCACGCAGGCGCTCGCGTGATCTCGCGTGATCTCGAGCGTGCGTGAGAGCGTGCAGTGACGTGTGAGGTGACGATTGATTGATTGCTGCTGCGAAACTCTGGCGAGCGTGAGTCGGCGACAGACGTCGGCAGCGGGTGAATTAAACACGTGACGAGACGAGAATTGAAGTCCGGCCCAATTAAAAAAAAAGAGGAGCGAGATCAACGAAAGCCTGCCCACCGGCTGCTGCGAAAAAAAGAGAAATCGAGAGAGAGAGAGAGAGAGAGAGAGAGAAAAAAAGAGTTCGGTTTACAGCTGCTGTTAACGAGTTGTTAGTAGACAGACAGGCGTCTCTCTCGCTACACATAGACTTCGGAGGTGACGTGCGATCATTCGAATATCCTTCGACGCGTTAAATCTCGAGCATTCATTGTCGTCGTCGTCGTCGTCGTCGTTATTACATCGTCGTCGGTTATTCGAACGTGTGTGTGTGTGTGTCGACATCGTGACCGATACGTCGTCGCGCTTCCGACCCCCCACACCCCCAACCCAAACCCCATCAAACAAACGATACCCACCCCCGTGCGTAGTTACGAATTCGTGAGCGATAGGGATCGACACAGATCGATAGATGGCCACGGACGCGCCCATCTGCGCGCCTGCGATAGCCTCGCATTAGTGATGAGTCAACGAAAACAGTCGCGCCAGCTGGCGACGCTCTGCGGCACCGTCTTCCGCTACGTCTGCCTCGCCGTCGCGTCGCTGACGTTCGGCGAAGCCAAGATCGCCGTCGTCGACGACGTCGTTGACGCCGAGGCGAACTTCGACTACGGGATGTACGCTCCGGATCCGAATTGCACGCTGCTCGACGACGGCGGCAATCAGACGCTGCCGCTGCACTGCAACGACACGATGGGACCGCCGTCGCTCTTCATCATCATCATGACGAACATGAACATCGTCATCTACGCGATCATCTTCGTGCTCGGCATCATCGGCAACAGCCTCGTCATCTACGTCGTCTACCGCTTCGCGAAGATGAAGACGGTGACGAACATGTACATCATGAACCTGGCGATGGCCGACCAGCTGTTCCTGCTCAGCATCCCGCTGCTCATACACACGTCGCTGATCGGCAAGTGGAGCTTCGGCACGCCGCTCTGCAAGATCTACATGGTGTTCTCGTCGGTGAACATGTACACGAGCAGCTTGTTCCTGCTCGTCATGAGCAGCGACCGCTACCTGGCCGTCTGCCAGCCCGTGCGCTCGGTGAAGTGGCGCACGCCGCTGCACGCGAAGCTCGTCTGCGGCTTCGTGTGGACGATGTCGATTCTTGTGATGATACCGATCGCGCTGTACGCGCGCACGACCGACGAGTACCACTGCGGCGTGTTGTGGCCGAGCAGTCAGCTCGTGCGAGCCGAGTCGGCCTTCATCTGGTACTCGTTCCTGCTCGGATTCGGCATTCCCGTCTCGCTGACGCTTATCTTCTACGTGATGGTGCTGTCCAAGCTAAAGCGCCTCGGCCCGAAGTCGGAGAGCCGCTCGAAGGCGAAGAAGAAGTCGCATCGCAAGGTGACGAAGATGGTGATGACGGTGATCACCGTCTACATCTGCTGCTGGTTCCCCTACTGGGTCATGCAGATCGTCATCACGCTCGGCAATCCGGTGGACACGAACGTGCAGCTCGTCATCATCGTGCTGATCTACTCGCTCGCCTACGCCAACTCGGGGATGAATCCGATTCTGTACGCCTTCCTCAGCGACAACTTCAAGAAGAGCTTCATCAAGGCGTTCAAGTGCGCGGCGACTAGCGACGGCCTCAACAACGAGACGAGCGTCTTTCCGACGCGCGGCTCGCGCAACAAGGGCAACTCGAAGCGTCGGCGCGGCGTCGACAGCGACGAGGAGGACGACATCGAGAGCACGCACGTGACGAGCCTGCACGGCAAGTCGCGCGAAAGCGTCAACGACAACAGCGCCACGCCGCTCGCCGACATGAAGAACGGACGCAATCACTCGATCGGCACGCCGAACAGCGACGCGACGCCGCTGTGAGGAGGCGAGCGCTGGTGGTGGCGCCCCCTGCCGAACAGCGACGCGACGCCGCTGTGAGGAGGCGAGCGCTGGTGGTGGCGCCCCCTCCGGGAACAGCCGACGCGAACGCCGCTGTAGAGCGACGCGGTGATGCGCCCCCTGCCGAACAGCGACGCACGCCGCTGATGAGAAGCGACGCTGGTGGCAGCCCTCTGCCAAACAGTGACTACATCGCTGTGAACGACGCTTGGTGGCGCCCCCTGCCAACACACGACCCGACACGCTGTGAAATGCAGCGCTGGTGTGGCGCCTGCCAACATACGACGCGACGCCGACTGTGAAGCGAGCCTGGTGATGGCGCCCCCTGCGAACATACTACTCGACGCCACTTAGAGCGAAGCGCTGGTGGGCGCCCCCTGCCGAACAGCAACGGCTACGCCGCTCGTGAGGAGCGAGCGCTGGGTGGCGCCCTGTACGAACAGCGACGCGACTCCGCTGTGAGTGAGCAGCGCTGTGGTGCGCCCCTGCGCTATGTGCGAGAGGCGTGCCCCCCTCTCTTTTCGAAAACATCTCCTTCGCTGCGCGGCGCCGCCGCTACATGAGCGCTACGCCCCCCGTCCCCCACCGCGCACGTCCTCCCGCGTGAGCAGCATAGGGTGCGCCCCCTGCATCCCCGCGCGTTCCTCGCGCCGTGCGCCCTGTCCTAAGTCCGGCTCGCGCCGGGGTAGAACGCGACTTGCCGTCTCACCGCTCCGTATGCTACGCGGTACGCTGGGCGTAACGCAGGGACCGCTGTGCAGACGGGGGGAGAATATCATTGTTGATGAACGCTAAGAACTGGCATCCTATGATCGGGCGGGTGCATAAAATACTCCGAAACTCATTTGTTATTATGTGTGTAACGACGTATGTGCAAACGTGAAATGTATAACCTAGGGGGTTTTAGTTTAATATAATATAAAATACTGTAATATACATATAAATAAGGGTTATATAAGATATATAACGACGTAAAATAATGTTAGTGGTAATAGATAAACAAAATATAAGAAAAATAAAATACAATAAAATAAACAATCCACTGGGGTCTCCGATGTCAGAACACGTAATTACTATCTGTAGCGTTTATATGGACCATAATAGCCGCTATAAATTATATTTCGAAGGCAGCAAGCCGACCGGAGAAACAAACACTCGTCGGTTGATTATTATATAACTATATTATATCCGGATCATTGGGTGTGATAATTATATACTATTTAATCACACGCTTTACCACGTTCAGCTTTTTACGTAGACAACCCGGATTAATTAGAACCACGCAACGCACGCCATGCACACACGCGGACGCGTCACTTCGGCATTGCCATCAACCGCAAATTTCTAGTACTCCGTAATAGGTTAACTTAGTGTTAATTAACCAATGCGACTCCGACTAAATACGTCCATTTGTGCACATTTTTTTTTTCCTTCAACGCAGCTCTCGTGCTCGTTCCGTTAACTAGTCTTCTCACTTAATTCCCCACCCCGCCCCCATCGCCGCAACATTTTGACAGACCATCCTAATTGCGTAAGAGTGTGATACGTGCTTGCTTCGGCCTCCTCTGAGCGGCTCGTGCGATGTGTGTGCGTTTTGTTGTCTCGTGTGTGTGTCGTGTGGTGTGTGTGTTGTGTTGTTTGTTGGTGTGCGCGCGCCCAAATTTGTGTGTGTTGTCCTGGGCGCGCGCGCATGTGTGCGCGTCGCGCGCAGTGAAAGACGTGGTCGTGTATCTCTGCGTTGTATGCCTGCGCGCCGTGGTAATGACATGGGTGCTGTATTCTCGTGCGTGTATGCGTGCTGTGGTGTCTGACTACTGCTCTGTGCGCATGTGTCGTAATCTTGTGCATGCGTCCTTTCCGTGCTGCGCAGCGCGGATGTTATGGAGGCTCTTCAGCTCCGACGCTTAACTCAACGCTGCTGCGATCTTGGAAGGCTTAAGTAAACATTCGCCATTTCTCCCGGCCAAACAAATACACGACGTCACATACCCGCCGGGAATATAAAACTGTGCTAGTGTGCGAAGCTCAATAGAGTGAACCAGAATTAAGACTCTAAATTGCTTTCTGAAATTCCTAAACTTCTACATAGCACGCACTGTAAACCTATAGTACAGAGATACGTTATCGACGACGCATTATGAATATAATTTCGGGGTTGACCGCGCACTGCGAGAGGATCCTATTGACAAAGCCAAAGAAAGCAGATAACCGAGAAGAATTTACCGAAACCCAACTAAAAAAATAGAAACTAGCAAATAAATCGAAGGAATTGAATATTAAAAAGAAACTCAGAAGTTCATATTAATGCGTGTAGGTAAAGAGATGATTTATTTTTATTTACATATATACATAACAGATCCCATAGTTAAAGATTCACCATGGGAGCAACCAGATGCAGCACATCCTCCTCCTCACCTCACCACTCCCTTCAACGATCTCTCCCATTGCCCCTCTAAATATCTCCCGCCTCGTTGCTTCCATTTCGCTACTCCATCCAATAGCTTTCATTCTGCAACATAAGATAATATCGTTCCATTACCCATACCCATTTACAATATTTTATTGCTAATTTGTAAATGATAAGAACTCGATTGTAATCAGTAATATTGAAAACAGAACCTGTTAATTTAATTTCACGATTCGCTTCATAACTATAGCGATTGCCGCTCATCCCGGCTTTGGGGCATGCTTCTGGTACCCACGAAACTACAAACATAACAAACAACAAACAAACAAACACACACACAACACACACCACTACACATCAACACACTATAAATACAATATATAAATATACATATATGATTAATAATCGACACATAGCCGGACAGGAAACATTTTGCTGATCAACGAGTGTTGTTCTGCCATATATGTATTATAACAAATTGATCATATCGATTGTACATGTTTATAATGCCCTCAATACGCGACAGAATATAACTATAATCACGCAATACATCTCGCGTGATTTCTATGCGACACTGTGCTGACCCCACGGGTGCGTCATGATACTGATTTCGCGTCATACTATACTCCATATTCTACCATGTACGCAACGAAATGCACTCAAAATCTGTCTGAAATCGGGTAAACAGGTGTATACAATAATTTCTGTTAATCGTCACGCCAGATCACGCGACAATATTATTGAGTGATCTGTGAATATCTATATCTATATATGTGTGTGTGCGTGTCAAGGTATAATCATCGTAGGTTATACACATCGGGTTTATGTTGGTTGTGTTGTGTTGTGTTGTGTGTTGGTAGTGTTGGTTGTGTGAAGCAGATAGAAAGAGAGAGAAAGAGAGAGAGTGTGTGTAGAGATAGTAGAGAAAGAGATTACACGAAAATTAAGGCGTACGCACGTGATGGGGTGTGGGGAGATCATAAAATGTAATCAACGAGAAACGCATGTATAAGTAATGAAATAGCCGTCCTGTGTGTTATTTAGTAGTATATACCGAGGCCTGGTTATATGGAGACGCGTTCGGTGTGGAACGTGGCCAGGCGGTTGTCGGCCCCACCTTTGTATAAGGTACACACACATACTGTCCGCCACATATATGCTTGCCGTGCATATATAAAGGAAACTATGTATATAATGTACGTAAGAACGATAGAGCCTATATATGTATAACGCGTCTATGTGTAGTCGAATTATTGTGTTGAGTATGAAATATTAACGTATATAGTAAGCTGCTATCTCGTATAAACTGTGAAGAACCGCCATGTTGAATATTTTCGCGCCAAATGTTTGCGAAACAGCAGGCGGTATAGCGTTTTCGAAACGAAGCCGGAAAAATGCTTTTCGCTCGGCAGCGTGTTTCCATTTTTGCTGTTATCAAAATGGCACGATTTCGAACAAATAAAATTGTGGTCAATCTGCGAACTTAGCCTAACTTGATTTGTCTTCGAGGCCGTGGTGATTCGACCCGATAGGCGAAAGTAACGTAACAATGAATTTTTTTAGGCTCACACCTAAAATGAGCATTAGCGCGCGCGCGCGCGCGTGTGTGGTGTTGTGTTTTGTGTGTGTGTGTTGTGGTATGTGTGCAATGCGTGCTGTCGGCGCACGTGTTGTTTTGCGTGTGCGCGTGTCTCCCAGCGGAACCATGTTTCCACGTTCGCATCGCCCGGCTGCGTGCGTCCGTACGTCCGTACGTCCGCGTGCGGCTTGCGCATGCGTGCATATTTGCATGCGTGGACGCGTATGTGCGCGCGTCTGTGTGTGCCTCTCACAGTACCTTAGGTAACCGCAGACAACGTTGACAAGATGGCGGTGTGTGTAAGCTACAGAGCTGTGTGCGAACATGCGACCGCCGCTCGCATTGTTTTATTCACTGTGTGCCTGCATATTCTAAACCACTCTTATTGACCGCTGTGGGTGAGATGGAGAGATATCGATACAACGCTATCGATCGTACTGATCGATCGCGTTGAGAACTCTATAGTTGAAATCGCCTAGAAAATTTGTTATCATAGCTTTGTAATGCGCTCTATGTGTATTGCTGCACATTACGTCGTGCGTGAGATCTACTGCGAGTGTTAAGCCTTAGACCCACGGTGAAGCAAAGAGGACTGGAGCGCAGACATCTGTAGAAATAAAAGCTTTTGCCGGAGTATATTCGGAGGCAATGTTTGCTGCTTGATATGATATTTTATGTGACATGGCATGTTAAACGGAACTGTGTACACGTAAAACGCACCGATTTTTTTGCGCGAGAACGAATCGAAACGAAACGCGAATGGATTTCGATGCGCTATGAGGCGATAGCGTTTGCGAGCTGTCAACAACGATTCCACTGGTCGCTTTCTGCGGCTCACTGTCTCTTCTTTTTCAATAGCATCTGAACCGTGAAATTGCTGTCACAATTCTAAACGCAGTTACGCGTTACTTGTGACGTGGGATGAAAGCGACGTTTACCCTGACACCGGCAAGATGTTTGTCACGTTATAATGACGTCATAATTTATCAAGTAATG